ATGTCAAGCTGAGCTGATCCACTTTGATGCGTTGGATGTCTCCAAAGCGCATGCTGGTGTGTGCAGCCACAGAACCTAAAGCCATGCAGATCAAATTTTGCTTTCCCATGCTGCTATGACTTTTAAGGCAGGGGCGAGGCTTCTTTGCGCTCCTGATCCTGAGACTGTCGCGGGGATGCGAAGAGCCTGGCTAGCGGGTTGACCAGCAGTGCAGTCAACGAGTGGACTTGGCCTACGCGGCCTAACCAGGAAAGAGCCTTGAGCATTGATCGAGGTGCGATGCGAACGCTTGGTCGGTCTTCATCATGCGAGCTCTCACATGCGTGCATGAGGTCGACCAGGTGCACCAGCTCGATCTCTCCCACTGACAAGTTGGTGGAAGTACAAAAACCAGGAACACCCGGATGCCACCTAAAGTACTGCGCCAGGGTGGAAGGCGTAAAAGCTCGCAGAGATGCTTCGTATGCTGCCTGGCGAGATTGTGATGCAAGTGCCGTGGCGTAAGTGGTGGAGCACAAGCCGACTGGGACAAAAGGTCTTCCCAGCCCCTGACGCATTTGCCTCGTTGCGTCGCCTGTGATGCTGCCTGCGGCCCCAACACTGTTGTTCGAAAGACAGGGCAAGTCGCAGGTCTATGCGAAGCCAAATGCTGGGGCGGGGTCTGTGTCATGGTCAGGCGCTCGCTCTCCCGAGAATTAACAGGCAGTGCATGCGGCTTGGGCAGGTCAGTAATACTGCGAGGCGGAGTCCTGCACGAAGGAGGTTGCAAAGGATGCGCCAAAGGCGCTGACCAAGGAAACAAAGGGCGTTGCATTGGCGGCGCCTGACCGCCGCAAGGCAAAATGGGTGCTGGCCTGGATTTGATTGGCCTGGGCGAGGCGGCAGGTCGTATCTGATGCAGCAGATGCTGCACTGAAACTTTGGCTCCCCTTTGTAGCGTTGCACACCCCCCCGGGGGGGTCAAGGCAGGTGTAAGCGTGGCAGGCCCGCCATCGGCGGGCAAAATTGGATGCGAGTTCAAGGATGCGATGCTAAACTCTGGCACCAGCCTGGCGCGTCTGCCCGCCTTGGGCATGGACTGGAGCATTCTAGGATGCTGTCTAAATCTTCGTCTTCACGAATTCGCTTAGCATGCAGGAAAAGAGCCCCAATGCTCCCGGGCCCGCCGTGGCATAGATGGCGGCTGCTCGCAACACGGAGTGACGAGGGTGAGTTGAGGGTCTATGAAGCATCGGACAGTAGGCTTGCTATGCAAATGAGTGCAATGCCGATACTGGAGTAAGGCCTGCACTGCGAAGCTGCTTGTGGCAATGGCCTCCTGAAATGTGCGCAAAAAGTGCACTGAGCTGAGGTGCGCTTAGCCAAATGAGGGCCTCACGGATGCGGAGGCGAATGCCCCTGTGTACCTGGACAATGGCAGACGAAGTCACGTGTGCCAAGCAGGGAAAATGCAAATAACAAAAGAACCCTGCACCAAGTTACACAACTGATTTCTTTTTTGGCAATGCAATGCGGCTGCGGGTCAAGTGCGAAAGCTATGCGTCACATCAAGATGCACTGCGAGGCGGATTGGGCGGCATGCGTGCGTGAAGGTCAGCGTGCCGCGTCCCGCGCGTCTGCCACGCAGCCGCTGCAGCGATGCCGGTCATGCACGTCAGATGCAATGTTGTCGACATACTGGCCGCATACGGCATCGTATGGGCATGAGTAGTTTGCGCAAGGCAGCATGCAAGATGCGCGGCCGTTGTCATCCCAATACAACATACGCATGCCTCTCCCGCCTGCCTCCCGGCGCCTCATGGTGCGAGGCAGGATCAAACTGGGTATGTGAATGCATGGAGCGCTGGCGGCGCCGGGGGACTTCCTGCAGCGGCACGGGCTTGGAGCCGGTGCCGGGGTTGCCTGGGTGCGGGGTCTCAAAGGCAATGATGCGGGTGTTGTTTTGGTATGCAGGGTCGATGCTGTATGCGTGCGTCTCCATATCCCAGCGCGTGGCGTGGTCCGGCACCCCTCCCAGCTAGGTTGAAGAAGCATGCCCACCAGGATCCATCATGCGCATATGGAAAGGCATGCAGAGGGGCTGATGGCGAGAGTCACTCTCTTGCAGAGGCGAAATGCATGCAGGCTGCGGCCTGCTAGGCGGCCACTTAGGCTCTGAAGGCGGTGCCTTGTGTGGCGAATGCAGATGGCAGGTCCTCGCGCTGCGGTGCGGGGGGTTGCGATGCGTCATGTGGCTCCATCACGTTGCGACGCAATGCGTCCGGAGTGGCATCTAGCCAGGGATGCTCACGCATGCGTTGTTCATGCTCGCGGTCTTCGCGCTCAGTGAGTTCGGCCCGGGGCTGACGGACCGGTGGAGGCTCGTGAGCAGGCGTTGCTTCAGGTTCGTCACGCGAAGCATGCGGATGCATGCTGGGCGATTCCTCTGCGGGCGCAGGAGGCGATGCTTGTTTTTGCAAAGATGCTGGAGGTGCCTTCGATCTTGCTGGTTCGGGCTCGGGGGCGTTGAAATCCAGCAAGTCGGCATGCGATGCGGATGCTGTGGGTTCTTCGGCTGCAGCGGTTGCGAGTGGCGACGCGGCAGCCTCCTGCGCTGCAGGCACCTCCTCGGGTTTGGTCGTTGCAAGCATGCCCACCAGCATCTGGTGCAGGAATTCCGGGTTATGCTGGTTGGACTAGATCAGCTGGCATGCTGGTCATTGCGAGGCAATGCACACGATGCAAGCTAGAAGGGCGAAATCACAGAGGCTGTGGCAGCAAATGGCTGCGAAGGCCATGCAAAGCACCATGCGTCGCGTGCAGCGGGACCAGGTGATACTGAGCTGCAAGAAAATGTCAAGATTGTGAGTGCACAATGTTGCAACAGGGCACTGGATGGCGTGCGTGGAGTTGGTCGATCACTGCGCAGGCGGCCTGGGCCCAGCGGGCCTCTCAACGCTCAGGGAATGCAAAACGGCAAGGAAATGCCTCCTTTCTTACAAAACTGCGTCGGGCGCAATGCATGCGATGCGTGGGGACTAAGTCCCTGGATTGGAACCCTGTGCACTACTGTCAGGGCAGTCGGGCACCACACACACGTGTGCCAATTTGCATGCTTTGGCGCTGCACATGTTTGACTGCGAAGCAATATGGAGCATTGCGACGCACGATGTCCCGAGCCAGACCTGGAGGACTGGCCGAGGCTGGCCTTGGCTCAGATGGAGCGGGCCTAGGCATGCACTGCGTCCATTCGTCTGTCTGCCAGTTCATGGTGTCGGTCGGACCACTGCAAGAAATGTGCACTGCGGGGCAGTGGAAGCACGCTGACATAGGCCTTGATGCTCTCGAGCGATGCAATGCAATGCTAGAGCGGATGACCAGTGCCATGTAACGTAGCAGTGCCAAGCTGGGTTCCATGTATGCATGCATGCTATGCTCAGAGCGGAACTTGGCGTTGGCCAGCAAGGCTGAGAAAGGCTGGATTATCGCCAGGTACTTACCGGCCATGCGGTAACCTGCCAGGCTTCGCTTGCAGTTATCCAGCATGCCATCCACGTTGATCTGCGGATGCATGCGGATGTAATCGATGAAATATGCGGAAAAGGAGTGCATGCGTGCAATGCAGAATGTAATGCTGTGTACACCCAAAATGCAGAGGATGTCTAGCAAGAAGTTGCAAAGGTGCCCCATGCGATTCACGCATATCAGGCGATCATTGCGGTCTGGGCGGCGCATCCATTTGCTAAGCAGGCACGAAAAACCGTCTTGCACGGCCCTAGCTGCCGTAGCTGAGCGGGCTGACGGGCACGCGTGAGCGTGTGCACGTGAGCAGGTGTTTTTACCATTTGGCAGGTGCAGTGCTGAGCGGGCACGTGGGCGGGTGATTACCAGTTCGCAGGCATGTGCGCAGCAGCGCCGAGGGCGTACGTGAGCGCGTGTCTAGCTGTCGGTCAGCACGGCTGGCCCGAGCAGGCGCGCAGCGGCGCACAGCAAGTTTTTGTGCCATGTGGCAGGCATGCGTCGATCACTGCAGTCCGCGGGCTTGTCAGGGCAGCATGGCTGGCCGTTCGGTTGGTGCGGTCGCACGGGTGGCTGTCACTCAGCGCAGTCAGCACGGCTAGCTTTCGGTCAGCACGGTCAGCACATCGGTCGGCACGGTCAGATTGGTTGGCGGCAAGCCGTCGGTCAGCACAGTCAGCGCCGGTCGGCACAATCTGAGCATGGTCAGTGCCATGGGCACGGTTGGCCCGTCGGTCAGCACAGTTGCAGCACGGTCAGCAAGCTCAGCACGATTGGCCCAGGACGGCTGGCCGTCGTTCAGCACGGCTGGCACGGCTGGCCGTCTGTCAGCACGGTCAAGACGAACAGTCAGCACGGCTAGCCGTCGGTCAGCACGGTTAGCACGGACAGCACGGTTGGCACGGCTGGCTGTCGGTCAGCACGGTCAGCACGGCTTGCCGTCGGCCAGCACGCCCGATTACGGTTTGCACGTCTGGCCGTGCAACCGCCGGTCAGCACGGTCAACCGTAATCTGCACGGTTGCACGGTCACGGTCAGGATCAAGGTTTTCAACCCCTTCTGCAACTGACCTGTGCCGTGTGTGCCCTGGTTGCAACATTCAAATCTGCCAGCAAGCCAAGGAACTTCATGCGGCTTATTTTAATCTGCCTGACGTTGGACAATGGAAGGAGCACGGGTGGTCCGGATTTATAAAGCTCTGGATAACTCAGTGGTTGGATCTGGATCCGAATCCCCTGGGCAACCTCCGATCCCTTGAATCTCTGGGCACTCTCCGAAAAGGACACCCATATTCTGCGGCTTCATAGGTAGCCTAGTATCTGCTGCCTTCATCCCTGCTTTTGGCGTGATAAACTTTGGTGTGAAACATTTACTTTGGGAGGTGCGTCCGCAAACGGCTTTTCAGGTGTGCCCTAATGATTTCATATCCGTTTCACCTTCCCTCAGCTTCCCTCCGCTTCCCTCAGCCCCGCCCAACCCGACCGATCGAAACGGACCCGGGCCAGCGGATGGCAGGCAGCGGGTCGCCAGAAAGGGCAACCTCTCGCCTCCGTAGGCGCCTGCCCTGAGCTCCGAATCAAACCAAATTGCTTGAGGGGTCCCTGCAACTAAAGACGAGCCTGACCCAAACAAGTTCGCTATCAGAGACAAATGACTCCCTCAAGGGCCACTTCAACTGTTGGATACGAAAGTCCCTGCTCCCTGCGCACAATGCGGAATTACCTGTTGCAATCACTTGTCTATGGCAGTTTGATGGGGTGGCAATGTACGACCCCATCAAACAAAGAAAGAAGCAGGCGTGTGGATTCCACTGCTTGCTGCTTCGTAATGTCCTTCGAGGGCCCTGTGGAAACCATGTTGATGCAGACGCGGGAAGCCCGCAAAGATCACCGGAACCTGCCTTTGGGCTCTCTTGAAACTCCCAATTCAAGGCATTGATTGATGGTGCAACTTTCCAAGCAAAGCTGCGAGGGCCATTGGCTCCTGGCTGCCCGTGGCACGTTGAGAGTGCAAACAGCTTGAAAGTGAACTGGAGTCAGCACAATTCAATCGGCAATTGCACCGTTGGGAAACACACTTCGGCTAAGCCTCTTCAATTTGGGTCGACCACACGCCGCAACAAGCAGCTGATGGTTGGTTCCCCCGAAGCATTTGCACGTGTGAGGCATGCACTGCTAACAACCACATGCCATGTCCATCATCTGCATATTAGGGTCTGCCAAACGTATCCGTTTGCATTTTGTGAACAGCTGTCCCAGCTGACCACGTGGTGACCCTCTTTGAAAACTTGATCACAGCGGCACATCACGACACTGACACGGTCCCAAAGCAACCGTCCGGCATTGTGCCAAGTGTCGAGCAGGGCCTCGATGCCGCGCCAGTGCTGCAAAGCGCTCAGGCAGAAATCGTCCGGACTGGCCCTCGGTAGCAAGGCGGTCTGCTTCTTTCAGCATTTGTGTCACTTGTGCGTTTGTATGTGTATGTGTGTAAAAATATATATATATATACACACACACACGCTGTAATTAATAATGCAAGAAGCGTCAATGCGTTGGTGTATCACATTCAGTATTGATGCATTAATGCGGTCATGACTTTAAACTTCTATGTAGAGTACTGTACTGCAGTGCGATGCTGAACTGCGATGTAGCCTACTGTCTTGTAATGTAGCGGGTTACATTCCATTGTGCTGCAACGCACTGTGTGTGATCACATGCACGCATGTGTGTTCAATGGTCCTGAACACCTTTGGCCACTGGATTTTGAGATGTATCCCGACTGTGCAAACAAACTCCTGCACCAGTTGGTACAAGCAAAGTCGTTCTCCCAATATTCGAAGAGTTTCAGCCATCCCAACTGGCAGCTGGAGCAGGCTTTGTTCATGCATGTAGTGTCACGTCTTGGGCTCCCCAAAGCCAACAAATTCATACCTTGTTCAAACAACGGTAGTCCTGACTTGGACATGGGGGATCACTCAAACTCAAGTGAAAAACACTTCCGGCCTACCAAGCTCATTCAGGGTCATTGCAAGAACCTCAGGCTCATATGTTTGTTCGGCCGTGATGGCTGATAAACTGGGCACGACCCTTGCAGTCTAATTCCTTTAACACAGAATGCTTCATATAGCTCAAATGCTTTCAGTCCAAAGTTTGCCTCAAATGCTACACTTTCAGGGGGCAAGTTGTTCACCAGGGTCAAGAGGTAAACCCTGCGGGACGACCGTCAGAATGCTCCCGTGGCAAACCCCCAGTTTTCCGCACGAGACAAAGAAGATGCCGCATGTCAGCAGGAAAGGTTCTAACGCTTATCCAGTTTCCAAATGCGCCCTGTGGAACCATCCCTTACACAATTGAGCGGGCTGATCCCCATGTTGGTCACGGGCTCAGGGTAGAACGTCGCTGAACTTTGGCTTGACATTTGCACTCTCCCACAAGAACGGTCAATATTTGGGTGGCTACCGTTCCTCACATTTGGTCTCCTACAAACCTTGGGGAAATACATGTTTGCACCCTGAGAAACAACATGCCTGCGTGATAAGGATGAAGTTCTCTGAGTGAGTACATGCATGCGCTGGTCTTGCCACGCAGACATAGAATGTTTTATCGTCTACATTTGAAGAGTATCTATCCATCGCATCCGAAAAGCTTGATCGTCTGATAAGAACGGGGAAGCCCAGGTTCAGCCAGGTATCACCAATGAAGGCACCAGCTGGTGTTTGGAAACCGGATTCTGGTTGGAGACACTTGTTCATTCAACGGCAGTTCCTAGGGAGTTTTAGGCAAATCTTGCCTCACGCACATGTTGATTCTCAGTTGATCAGCAGGTTTCCCTGAATCTCGCCTTTAAGCACCACCCCACTTAAAGGAAGATCACTTAAATGGACCTTAAAGGGAGATCACTTAAATTGACTAAAAAAGTTTAAAATCATCGATTAGGGGAAACATGGGGAATCCTGATCCAGCATCCGACCATGGGGCGCGCAAAAAGAAGCTCCATAGGCGACCTCCGTTGGGAATGTTTCAAGCCCCTCCGCACCTCTTGCTGCTTTCTGGCTACTTTGCTTCCAAAGAATCACCAGCCATGTAGTCTATTTCCATGTCAACACTCACAACTTTTGGCGCTGCAACAAAGGATCCCATTTTTCCCCAAACAGCAAAGCATTGGGGTTCTAACTTGAGGTATAGAAAATGGGAAAGTGTGACGCCGGATCCGGGGTCCTGTTTTCCGCTTGTCTTCCTGTCTTTCAGTCTCTCCGGTCAGATGCCAGCTGCCGTGACGCTGGCTCCAGGGTTGTGTCTCGCACTTGTCTCCCTGGGTCGTGTCTCCCACTTGTCCCTGTGTCTCCCAGTCTCTGCGGTCAGATGCCAGACACTGTGACGCTGGCTCCGGGGTCATGTCTCCCGCTTGCCTCCCTGCGTCTCCCCGTCTCCAGATGCCACATGCTGTGACGCTGGCTCCGTCCCCCGCTTGTCTCCCTGTTTGTGGCGCTGGCTGCGGGGTGGTGTCTCCCGCTTGTCTCCTGCGTCTCCCCAGTCTCTGCGCTCAGACGCCAGATGCTGTGACGCTGGCTCCGGGTTGTCTCAGACGCCGGCTCCGGGTTGTGTCTCCCGCTGGTTGTGTCTTCCTTGTTTTTTGTGTCTCCCATCTCTGGTGCCAGATACTGTGACGCTGGCTCGGGGTCGTGTCTTCTGCTTGTCTCCCTGTGTCTCTCAGTCTCTGCAGCCAGATGATGTAACGCTGGCTCTGGGTGGTGTCTCCCGCTTGTCTTTCTGTCTCTCCCAGTCTCTGCGGTCGGATGCCAGATGCTGTGACGCCGGGTCCGGGGTCGTGTCTCCCGCTTCCCAGTCTCTGCAGTAAAGGACCCGGGCAAAATGCCAAGGTCGCAGCTTTGACATATCTCGTTGCCTCCTGACAGAAGGGTTGAAGACAGATTTATCAGCCTTGTTTTCCACATATTCCGCAATATGGACGCTGCTGTTTTGCACGTGTCCGAAAGTGCCCGCTTGCAAGTGCGAGGCTCAAGGGCTTTCATGGCGGGACGTCGGAAGGTGCCATTCTCTGAGGCCCTACAGTCTCTGGACGCATAGAACACCAAAGAGGTTCAACGTCAGCTGTATTGCATGGCGCTTGTGCTAGTCTCCCGCAGTGAGTATTTTTGGAAATCCGAGCAATTTCATATCATTCTCGCAATCAACGTTCTTTTCCGAGATCTCGACTTGAATTTGGCAGCTCCGGGCGAGATTCTGATTTACTTGCTCGCAGCATACGTGGCTTGTCGGGAAACCAAGCTGGAGGGATGTGCTGATAGCATCAAGACCATCGCTCACCGAAGCAACACGTGCTACAGACATGGCCCATCCATTTCTTCTTTGACGACACAGCTTCGCCTCCACTACGCCTTGAACATCAATTCCGACCCGTTCAAGCAAAAGGTTTCCGTGCTGCTGCGTTGCGTGGCGACCTCCCCAGCAACATTACGGAATGGCGGCTCTGGTGCTCAATGTGGTGATTGCAACAAGGACACACGGTCATGGCCATGTTTCCACACATGGTCGGTGGCTGTATAATCTAACAAGAGTTGCTAACGTCGCCGCCGTGTTTGATGGTTTCTTTTTGGGGCCCCATCAACAAGAGCCGTTTCGCCAATCGCAAGGTTTTTTCTGACCGGTTGTTGTCCTGGAAGTAAAGCCTGGGTGAGTCGGGTCCCCAGCCAAACCATTAGCTCGTAAGAGTTGTTCGCATCGTCCCTGCACTTGTCGAGTTCTCCTCGAAAATCTTGGTTGATGCATAGGAGCCTTTTGATGGCAACCTACATCGCCGACCTTGACAACTTGGAAACAGTTCACGAACCCGGCCAGTTAATTGCAGTGCTGCTGGAGCTGAGTGAACGCAAGGCCCAGAAGTTGTTGCCAGCGGCGTGCGTTGGAATGATGGCCGCCGGTCGTTCACCACACATGTGAACACCAATCTGCAAACCATAAGCACCAACTCCAAGATGAACCCGGCCAAGCTGGTGGTGTCCACTGTGCAGCCAGCAGTGGTAAGTTGGGGCAAAGTTCTCACACGTTTCTGCGATGGAGCAGGGCTGGAGTTGACGTTCAAAGCCAAGCTTGTTCCAGAATGGAGCGGCGTTGGGCGCGTGGAGCAAAGCCATGCGTTGGCCATCTTGGGAGCATGCGGCGCGCTGGACACGACAGAGATGAAGGCTTGGATGACCAAGCTACTGCCGGCTCAAACGCTGAGGATTTTATGGAGCTGCGCCGGGTGACAGAGGTGCGCGCCAACGGCACCTTTGCTGACGCTTGCCAATTTGGCGCGGCGTGTGCCTGCGTTGCTAGGCGAGGATGTCCCGGCCGTAACGCTACAAGGCGCAGTCTGCAGGTTTATGCAAGTGCTCTCTTGCTTTGCTTGTAGCAAGACCTTTACCCGAGAAGAAGATAGCAACCAGAAGTGGCATGTGTCCAGTCTCGCCCGCAAGCTGCTGAGACTGATGCGCAAGTTTCAGCAGAGCAGCGAGACGGCCACCAAATCCGGTGATGGAAAAGTGCATTGAGTGTCCGTACTACGAAAGTTCCTTCGACACTTCCTTTGATTAATGCCAGGTGTTGGGTTGATTTACCCCGAATCCCCGGGGCCTTCACTCTCGAACATGGCATTGACATGGCATCTTCTTCTCGAAGTCGGATGGATGGACCCGATGTGTCCTCTTCCCAAAAAAGGGGACTTCCCACAGAGACATACATGGACTGATTGTAACTATGTGTTGCTCACATGAGCTACTCAATTTCGCACCTTACATGAAGGAGACAAGCCTTTTTTGTTATACAGACCTGCTATGCTTTCTTGCTGTTTGGGGTCGAGGCTGGTGTAATTTGAGGACCGTTCTTTTTAAAGGCCACAAACATGAAACCACCCACCTGATGGCACCGATTCCTGATTTTGACGCATACCCATTTGAGCATCGATCTACATTCCTTGTGTCTCGCAATGGTGTTGGATGCAACCCTTTAGTTTCCCTTTGATCCCCCAGCGAAGGTTTTCGCAAAGGGCATACCCAAGCCATCTGCAGCCCCTCCTCGAAGCTGCATCTGCCAGCGTCGACATGGGCCGCGTGCGGTGAGGGGCGCCTCAGAGAGAGGGACAAGGACAACCCTGCATTACTGAAAGGGCGCCCCGCAGTTGGGATACCAATAATCGCCCGGAGACGGGTGGATCAAGGCTTGGTACTTTGGGGTTGCATGGCCAAAGCCCAGTTTTGACAGCCTCCATGCAAGCAGCGGATCCTGAAAAAAGTCAGTTTTGACCTGTGTCTCGTTCAAGTATTTCAGCCAGAATGGTCCCTTCTGGGGATTTCTGGTATCAATCACAACACCAAGTTTGCAAGGGCCTCCTTCCAGGTACCTCTATCTGGTCGGGGGCCTAAACAAGCTTTGTGAAGTGAACGCCCACTGTTCATCACACATTGAAACGACATGCGATACATTTTTGAGGACACAACACCTTGCTCGGATCAGAAGACGGTCTTGCAGGTGAGGAGGCTGCGGGACTCAAGGCAAAAAGTGAGGGCATGAGGGAAGGAGGGAAGGAGGGCAAGTGGGGAACGATGCCCACCCCTTTTCAAATAGAATGCACAGGGAAAGGAAGTGCAAAAGCTGGAGTGACGATAGCAAGGATGTTATGAGATCAGAAGAGAAGCTAACACGGCAAGACAAACCAATCGCAGTGTGTAGGGAGAGGGGTAGCACACATGATGAAGAAGGACGGAATAAGAAGCAAAAAGGAAGCCACTGCACCCCTTCCAAGCAAGCATATGAACATAAAGAACCGTTTTGAGTGAAAACTGTACGCTTGTCGAATGCACTTCGATACTTTGGCCTGCCTTCGCCTGTGTCCGTGGCAGCCATGGCTGCAAGGAATCGCAAAGCCTCGCAGGGGCTGCCGGCTATCAGGGTTGTGCTTCTGCCATCTTCTGTGGAAAGGAGCAGAACAGCTCAAACAGGCGACTTTTAGGGAGCCGTTCATCTTCCAAAAAGGTGGTTTTAACAGAACAACCCTGCTGGCCATTAGGCTGAACGTGGGGCTTGTCGGGCTCAAAGAAATAGAGTTGGGTTGGGTCGGTTGAAGAAGCGCAAAGGTGGCATGGTTGGGCCGGTGTGTGGCTTGTCGGTGGAGATTCCAGGAAAAGGAGTCAAAACAAGTACATGAACGCTGGTTTTTTTCTCCTTGGATTTGGTTCCTTGTTCCAGCTCCTCCAAGGTATCAGCATGGATGCTAATACCTCTCTGTCGTAGTGGGTCGTGAAGCATTAACATCCGGCTTAGCAGTTTTTCCACGTCGACTCATTTTTGGGGAATTATCACGCGGTTTAGGCTTCCTTCGAGAGCTTCTCCAAGAGGACCTCGAAGATTCAAAAGAAGGCAACTCTTCCCTTGCTTTCCGCTTCCGCCCCAGCCCCGCTTTGCGGGCGGGTTCTACAGGAACTACGTCTTCGGAAATGAAAGCCAGACAAAGAACCACAAGCTGCCAAAAATATGTCCACACGGTTTGATTCTATTTCAGAGGGCTGAAGTGGGACTCTTGCAAGAACTTCAAACAAGACTGAAATCAGTGTTATTTCCTGCAACATGTGAAGAAAGCGATTCTTCTTTCTCATCTAAACGCTTGCTCTTTGCTTGTCTGAGCTGGACGTGCAGGTTTGGTTGGCGACAGCCCCTGGAAGTCATTGCCAAACATGATGTTGCGCAAGACAAACTAACACCGGTTTTAACTATTCTTTTATGCGTATGAGCCGGACCCTAGTCAGCAAAAGAAACACATGGGTTTCACCTTGATTCGTCTGATACGTGTACCCTCTTTAAAATTGAGAAGTCAGGTATTCTATTCTATCTTCGAGGGTTTTTCTTGGAAGCTGGGGAGCTTGCAATCAAGTTGAGATGGGAGTTGCAAGACCTTAAAACAATAATTGAAACCAGTGTTAAGCCTTGCGACGTGGTGTATAAAACTAATTCAACGATTCTTCCGTCATCTAAATGCATGCGCTTGGCTTGTCTGAGCGCGATGGGCTGTCTGCCACCCTGAAAAAACGCACAAACAAAATTGACACCGGTTGAAATTCGTTTTACGCTCCTACCAGCGACCCTGGGCAGCTAAAGCACTAAGATGGGTTCCAGCCCTCAATTTCATGCGCCTTCGAATTGTGGCTGACGCATTGCCACCAGTTTTTGCAAGAATAACCATGACTGAAAAGAGTTTGGGATGTCTGCGAGGAAATCTGCACTCGTAGGGCCAAACACGTTTCCAAGTTGCGGCAGGCTAACCTGGACCAGTTTGCACCAATCTTCAAGCGGCACTCCCGACACCTCATGCAGCTCTTGCCTCGGATGGTGATGGATGACGGCAGGTGGAGCAAAGCACCTGCCAAAGATCTGACACCTCGGCCCGTCAGCCGAGAAACCCATCAATGCATTGTCTCATCCCACAAAACCCAGTGAGGTGATATGTGTATACAAATATATATATCTATATATATATATATATATGTGTGTATATCTTTATACATACATATGAGGAAGGCAAACAAACGCAAACCACATTTCTCTAATTGGGGCCGAAACGCATGTGCACTGTATAGCGGATAGCACCCAACTGTGTTGCCTCCCTGCGCAGTGACAACCACTCATGGAAATTCACAGGATACACGGAAAGTTGGGGACGTTGGGTGCCCAACCGCATGTTGTTTGTGTATAAGGTTTCATTTGAGCCTCCTCCTCCAACTGGCAGCGAACAACCAAACATGTCGCCAGTTTCTGAAGATGAACCTGGAAGGGATCGCCGTAACCCCCTCAGCGGCACGTTCAGTCATGCGAGCTTGGCAGTTCATTGTGGGCAAAACCGTAATTAGACGAACTGCGAGAAAGAAACCCTCGAAACCCAAGAGAAATCGATGGTGCTTGGCACGCTGCGCCCTGCACTTGCCTCATGTGTGACTATATATATATATATGTGATTTTTCCAGCACATCTATGTCAAACGGCAGATTGTAGTTTCATTAAGCTAAGCATTAGAAAGCTAATGTTGTCCTGAACGATCAGCCACATCTCTCGATACACAACACGGTATGCGCAATATTGTTCAGAATCATTCATGGATCAATATGCAACGCTCCTCATGAGCCAAGGTCCTGGCGGAACCCTTGGTCTTTACACTACTGTTGGCTTTTTGTTACGGCGCATAGTTTCTCATCGAAGCCAAAGTCTGTTCGTATTCAGACTGTGCAGACTTTGCGGACCTTGATAGCCCATAGAGTCTGGGCCCACGAAGTCAAAATGCAGCGTCTTGGTGCATAATGCAACCTTCTGGCTATCCTCATTGGGTTGTTCTTTGCTATATTGAGCCTGCCTCCATCACTATGGGCCTTGGCACTTGTTGAAGAGTGCTTCTTGTTTGGGCAGCTATCCGAGCAAGGCAATACTTTGGCCCCATCCAGACCCATATAAGTATGATACTCTCGCATGCGCGCATTGTCAAGCTATAATAGTCTCATGAGCCAACCGGGAGTTCCAACTTCTTTCAGACTCGAGCCGGGGCAAGCCCCATATCGCGACGTGTCAAACACACAAATATCCGCCGACAACAGGCGGCGTGTTGGACATAAGAAATGCTCCGCGTGGGAACGGTTTCAGACTATGGGGGGGGGGGGGGGCCACGTACCACGCGGTGATGTCAAGACGTTCTTCTGGATCCTTTCTCGTGGGGGCTGTGCGGGATACAGTTGCGTAAAAACACCAGGGTGTTCGATTCCCCCGTCTCCTGGGCAACATCGCCAGCATCACCTGCATCATCCGCATCAGGATGCGGATGATGCAAGTAATGCTGGGGATGTTGCCCATGCTGGTGAAGGCCAATTTGGAAATGAAGGAAAATACATGGAAATGAATGACATGAAGTGAACTGAAATAAAAGGAACATTCCTATGGAGCCAAGGTAGGGCACTGAGTGAGCCCCACTCAGGCCCCCTGTCAGCTTCCCCACTGCCATCCCGGCGTGTATGGCTGACAGGGTAAACACCCCAATGCACTCCACTAGGCAGCGGGAGATGCCAAATGATCAGCGGCAGAGCGGTCGATTGTGTTGAAAAACCTCTGGAACGGTGCCAAGGGTCCCGGGCACCTTCCCGGCTGATCGCATCAGCCCAGTTTGACTTCGATTGAATGTATTCCCAGTAAATCCAAGTTTGCAAGGAGAACAAAATCACGTGGATCAAATGCGCCATGTGTTCCAGGTCCGGCTGGGCCGACCTCCCACGCACCAAGCACATCAACGCGGCAGTGTTATCGATGAACCACACCCCAGCGATGGCGGAACTCGCCCGGCCGAGCCATCAGGGCGAACAGGACCATGGAAGCTCCAACTGGGCAATCTTGTGATCTCCAGGCGTCCACACCTGGCACAAGGCTGCCGGTATCTGGGCGACGAAACCCTCACGCAATTCCGCATGAGCGTCACACCAGGAACCCTCCAGTTCCGGCGCCTGGCACTTCCAGTGCCGCATCCGACGCTGCGAAAAAGCGGGGGCATGCGTGGTGCATCACTTCAAACACTCGGCGCGGCTGCACCTGAAATACGGCTTCGAGCAGCTCGAAACTGCGACAAATGTCAGCGGTCAGGGTCGAGTGCCTCTCGTCCTGCCGCATCCGGATCGGGTGTAGGCCGCCCGCCCCCACCTTACCGAACATGCCAAGTTCCAAGAAATTGGCCAGGCCGTACACCTTGGCGGCCGCCCCCGGGGTGAGGCGCTGCGTGGCACGAGACGCCGCCAGCATCCCTTGCAGCTTTCCGCGCAGCGGAGAGAGCCTCAGACACGTCATGGTCCAAACCAAGGAAAACGCCTTGGGGCGCCATGGCCTGGCGCTTCTCCTCAGCAAAGGGGGTGCCTAAAAGAACGTTCAGTTGCTCAAAGGCCCACTGTAAGCGAAGGTCCAGGGATAGGGCGACCGGTGCCATAGCCCACTCACGCATGGCCCTTGGGTCCAACAGCAGCCAGTCCTCTGCGACCCACACACTCGACCGTGGGCATCCGGCCCGTTCGCACCGCCCCATGAAGCGGCGACCGCCAGAGCGAAGCACAACGGGGCCGTATACTCAGTTGCTCGCTCCACAGGCTCCCACTCCTTGGGATCGTGAGAACGATGGCAAGCCATGGGGGGCCAGGCGTCGATCTCGTCCAGGTTGTGGCGCAGCCGGTGCGACTTGGCTCGAGCTCCACCCAGCACACACGCAGAGTAGGTCTTGTCGCGCCATCGCCCCGACTGCCACATGCGTTGCTCTTGGGGCAGAGCCCAGTGTAGGCTCTGGGCGGGGTTCTCGCGAATAGATGCCGCCGCCTCCCCGTCGGGGCCCCGTCAGGTGGACTTGCGGGGCTTCTTACGCGAAGGAGTTGGTGGAGAAGTGGGGCGTCCAGGAGAAGGTTGAAGAGCTGGATCCGACGCATGCCTATGGCGAGGAGGTTGTTGAAGAGGGCTGGTTTGGCCCGGCAGGTGCTGAACGTCAAGGAGGTTGGCTACGCCTCCTGAAATAGCATGCCGCCGCTAGGCAATTAGCCTGCTAGCTTCAGCTATAGGGGCTGCACCCTGGTGATGCATGGCCTAAATCCGGCACCTCTGCATCACCAGCTCGGGCTTGCGGTTTTGCTTGCCTGTGCAAAACCCTCGCAAAACATCGCGTATATGCAGGGTTTAGGCCATGTGGCTGACATCATCAGGGTCTGGGGTTGGGCCTGGGTGATGCTTCAGCGGGGCTTGGTCTGCATCATCAAGACTTCCTTCCAAAAAGCCTCTCAACCCAAAAAGCACTGTTTTTTAGAAGGTATCGGAGGGATATAAGCGAGGCTCATTTTCGCGCATTTTGGCGCCAAGCGCTGCCGGGCATGCCGGCGATGCTGGTCCTCGCTCTACAAAACGCTGTAAATACCGTCAAAAACTGCTGTGCTGAGCGGTGGGCTGTTGTTCTGTCCGTTTTGCTTTTGCTGTGGCTGGCTCGCGTGCTGCGCGGTCCTTGCTTTTTTCGCGTTGGTTTTCGGGCCTTTTGGCGCGCGCGCGCGCGACCCCAGCCACAAAACGCTGCTATTTACGGTTGCTTTTACGTTTCCGGGCTGGCTTGCGGGCTGTTCTTTTTGGGCTGCTGTTTCTGCGGCCTCTGGCGCGCGCGCGCGACCCCATGTCAGCTCTCTGGTTTGGGTCCCGGCTGGGGCCCAGAAAGCTGGCATCCCCGGCATCATCTGGGATTGGGGTGGGCAACATGAATAACCTAACCACCCATATCATAGCACAGGATACGTTTCTCACACAAAAAACATGACATGACATGGTATAACTTCAAAGAGGCGTAGCCGGCTAGAGGCCGCAGGCCCAGAAAATATACATAAGGGTTTGTATTTTTGCCCAGGAAGTTTGAGGAGGGGGTTTGTTTCGGGGGTATGCTTTGGGGGTATGTTTTGAAGTATGTCTCGGCGGAAGGCTTTTTGCGTCATACACATGAGTCAGTGCGTGGAAAGGTCTCAGGCATCATTTCCGGCTCCTCCCTTCTCCACGCAAGTTTAATACGGAATTCTGCACATGGGGGACTGACGAGCACCGCTGCCGAACCAGGCCCGCTACCCGCGCCAGTTGCAAAAGAACAGATCGGGCCGGCAAAGTGCAAAATGACATGCCATCCCGTAAGTGCAGCGCTAACCCGCAAGCGCTTGCCACAGCGACGACCTCACGCGCTCGGGAAAAAGTCAAGGCTGCTAGGCAAGCGTAGCCTAAGGCGTGGCGCAGCACGCGCAATCTTGAGGCAACAGCCCACAGCTCCGCGGCCCACTGCTGTGTGCACACTGCCATGCCCAGATTGACAAGACCTGTGTCAACTCGCCAAATCACCCGCGGTTGTTAGGGTGGAACAGGGTGGAAAACAACAGAACAAACAAGGGAGATCCCTCCCGCCCACCACTTGGCCTCTTTTTTTTGGCTATTGTCTGACAAGCGCCCGCTGTTCTGACGCAAGCCACTACTTAACAAACTTGACGACGAACCCAGTACCTTAGGCACCGGGTCGCAAGTGACAAAGCCTAGAAGCTATTGCCGAAGCATCAGCCCTAGGCCCCTCTGGCACGCTTCTTGAACTGCCAGTGGCGCGAAGAAGATTGAAGTGGGTCATCATGAAGAGAAGGCGCCACCGAAATAGTGGGCTCAACGCAAGGTATGCAGGGCAACACCGTCAAATGATGGTGCACATTTTGTGCACGACACGCAGTATCAACTGCACGAAATGTAGCATCAAGTTGTTTCATGTTTGGTCTAATAGAAAGGCCGGCAGACACCGTCATCCCATAAGCCGCCTTCAGCGCAGCACAGTTAGGCACAATTTCACAAGGGAACAAGGGGGAGCCGAGT